TGTGTTCACCAGCTGATTGGCTCCTTTTCAACCCTATCCCTTTGCTTTCTAAGGTGGAGACTACTCTGCGATTCCTTTGTGTGTGTGTGTGTGCACCCACGCATATGCACCTCTCTTCTATCTATCCATCCATTCATCTCCTATCTATCTGTTCATCTCTCTCATCTATCTATCTAACTAACCCTCTAATTTATTTAGCTATTTGTCTAAAACCATATAAATTAATCCTAAACAAAGTATTGTTTAGAGTTACTTGGTTTTAAGCCCTATAAAAATTGCATCATGTGTGTATTCTTCTATTAATTCCTTTCCTCACTCAACATTATATTTCTAAGATTTCTCCACATTGTTTTGTTTAGCTGTGGTTCATTCATTTCCACTGTTGTGCAAATACCATCGTGTGAATATACCATTGCATGTTGATTTTGTAACCTTCACCTTTGGAACTAGAAAGAACGAGGGAGCCTGGAGATGAGGAGATTATTGAAGATGGGGGCGGAGGAGGCAGAGGTGTGGGCACCAAAGCGTATCCATCCCACAGTCTGGTGTGACCCTGTCTTGCTGATGATCATGGCAGATCCATCAGTCCTGGCTGTTTAAAACTTACTGCTTGAGGATTTAAAACATGGCTAACTCCCAGGACTGGTGAGAATAGGGTCTTGCTCCCACCTGTAACTGAAAGGCACACTGATGGGGATGGGCTCTTCTCCAGCAAGAGGCCTGTGGGACCCAAGGAACTTCTTGACCCAGTGGCTCCACTTCAAAGACATGCACAAAGACTTATCTGTCAGTACTCAAGTACTGTTGTTACTTACCTTAGTAAAAACTCAGGATATCCCCTAAATTTTCATCAGCAGATCCACAGTCAAGCTTACTGTGGTGATCCATGTATGGAAGATGGTGGCTGACACTAAAACTGCGTTGCAGAAGAATATTTAATCACATGGGACATGCTAATGAGGTGGCTGAGTTGAAAAATGAAGGGACAAAGCAATTTGTATTGATAAATATGAATGTGTGTCTGTACATACAGATATTTGAACCTGACTTAAAAATATTCATTTATATGTAGGAAATAAAGGCTGAGAGGAAGTTCTCTGAGTGTTAACATTGGGTATCTATGAATTATAGAATTATGTACAATTGTTTTATTTTCTGTAATTTCTAAGTTATTCAAAATAAGTATTGCCTGCTTATAAATTTATAGGCACCTATGCATTTGCAAATGTATGTACAGAGTTTGTTGGGACATGGGGGGAATCAGTGATACTGAAATTTGTGAAACTAGACAGTTCCCAGGCTTAGAAGTAAAGTCAGAAAAATGTGAATTGGATTTCTTTTTTGCAAAGAGAAAAGATCAGGAATAATATAGATACCATCCACATTTTCTACCCTAATTAAGTCAGAGGGAAAAAGCCAGGCTCTTGGTTCTGTGGACTGCCACTTTTATTTGCAGCTTCTGGAATATGTGCTTTTTGAGTGACCTGAATCTTCTCTATGTGTGGCCTGTGAGTTCTCTGGGACACAGGCCAGCGATCCTGTCGAGCAATAGGGCCCAGAGGCCTCCTCTGTGCTTCTGTCTTTGCAGAGGGGAAAGGATTTGGAACAGTGGAAAATAGTATTTGGATGGTGTCGAATGAAGTTTAAATTGGAATGGCCTGAAGTCACTTTGGGAAATTTCCTGGTGAAACTCATTTTATTTTTGGCTCTTTAGAAATATAACTATATAAAAAAGCCGAGAAAGGATTCCCTATATGCTTAACTACAACTATAAAATACTTTGTATACACGAAGTACAACAAAAACGTTAAACAATGATGCAGTCAGCCAGATGTGGCCACTGCAGAGAAGATATTAATAAACTGGACTTCTGACTTTTCTCCACTTCTGATTTTCCTTCTTAGTGACAAGAAGGAAAAATCCTCTGTGTTGTGCAATGTGATGCTGCCGTGAGCTGCTCTGAGAGCCCACGGGTCATGCTTCCCGAGGAGCAGCAGAGCCTTCACTCTCTTGAATACTGTCTGCTCTTTACAGCGGTGATTCTAAGAACATTATTGATTTAATGATGTAGAAATCTTTTATTTGAGTCAAAAAGCCAATCTCATGCAAATAAGCTATGATTACTGGGGTTTAACCCATTCATTATTAAGTATTTATTAACAACCTACATTGAACTGGGTACCTCCTTATGGTACCAGGTAAAACAAGATGAAAGCACCATGGCAACCGTTCATAAGGAGCTCACAGTCTAATGAACATAATGGAATCAGTAGCCAGACTCTGTGCTTCCCTTTACATCTATTTAATGCAACAAAACCAGAGTTTTTGTTTCTTTTAATTTATATTACATGGCTGAGAAAGTGGAAGCACAGGGTAGCTAAATAACGTGAGGGAGGTCACTGTAATAGTCAGCTCTTCCAGTAATACTACGTACCTGGAAAAAGACCCAAACTCTGTAAAATAGTTTAAAGAGGTTTATTCTGAGCCAAATATGTGTGACCATAGCCTGGGGAGCCACACCCAAGAAGTCTTGAGCAAGTGGTCCCAAGGTGGTAAGGTAACAGTTTGGTTTTACACATTTTAAGGAGACAGGAGTTGTGAGTAAAATCATAAATCGATACATGGAAGGTGTACATTGGTTTGACCCAAAAAGGTGGCACATCTCAAAGCAGGGAGCTTACAGGTTAAAGGTGGGCTCCAAGATTCTTTGATTTGTAATTAGTTAAAGAAACGAAGCTTTGTCTAAAGGCTTGGAATGTTTTAAGTTAAGATAAGAAAGTTTGTTAATCAGACGAGCCACAATATCGGACTCAAGTGACCTGTTAAGCTAATTGATGGGCTGCAGATGATTTAACCTTTGCTGTGCATGGCCTTGGGTCCTGTTAGTAATTTAGTATTTTATTGTCACAAAGAGTCTCTTTTGTCAGTCTTATTTGTTAATTTTTTATTTTTGAGGCAAGGTCTCATTCTGTTACCTAGGCTGGAGTGCAGTGGCCTCATCATAGCTCACTGCAACCTCAAATTCCTGGGCTCAAGTAATCCTCCTGCCTTGGCCTCCCAAGTAGCTGAGAATACAGGTGTGTTCCACCACTCCTGGCTATTTTTATTTATTTTTTACTTTTTGTAGAGACAAGGTCTCAATAAGTTGCCCAGGCTGGTCTCAAACTCCTGGCCTCAGGTAGTCCTCTTGCCTTGGCCTCCCAAAGTGCTAGGATTACAGGTGTGAGCCACTGCACCTGGTCTTGTCAGTCTTATGATCTCTATTTTAACGTTAATGCTCGTCAGTTGTGTCTAAATTCCAAAAGGCAAGGGGTATAATGAGATGTGTTCTCCATAGGAAGTGGCCCAGGGCTGCCCAGAGGTGGTGCCCGTGGACAATAACTGGCCCCAGACAGATTTGTTTTCTGACTTCCACCAGACATGATGGGTGTTGTTAGACATAGCACAGGGGCCCAGGTTTTATTCATCCACAAGACCCAGTTTTATTGTCTATGTCACAGGTGTAAAAAGAAAATAAAAATCTCAGGCCCCTTCCCAATTCCTTATGCAAAAGAAAGGCACAGGCCTTGGGCACCTGGGAAGAACTTGCCCCACAATCAGTCATTAAGGAAATTCCTTGTCCCTGAGCAAGGACATGCAAATTGTAACTTTAGGTCCCAGGCTCTAGCTCCTAAAACTAAAGTCTGTTACAAGTTTATCTTCACAGGCAGCAGAACAGAGATGAGACAGGATCAGACATTCTTCCACCTACCTAGGGACATCTACATAAGTGATGCTTCCTTCACTCCCCTTTTCTCTTCTAATGTTCACCTTATTTTATGTAAAATGGAGATTTTCTTGGGTTTGACAAGAATGTAAACCATTTTGTCTCGCTACCCTGATACTCTGACTTTTTTTTCCATATGCCTTTAAGTGCTAAAACTTCCAAATTCCCCTTTGGTAAAACAGCCACAGTTTTTGGCTGTGGTTCGTGTTTTTCCCAGGCACGTCCTCAGCTTTGGCTTGATAAACCTCCACTGATTGAGATTTTTGCCTCAGTCACTTACCTTGGGTGGACACAGGTGAATGCTTGAATGAGAAAGAGAAGCAAGTGGAAATACTTTTCTTAAAATTCATTCCTTGTGAATCTACGATTGGAAAGATCGCTGCTCTCTTAGCAGGTGAGTGTTTCAGGACAGCCACAGCATCTATGCGCCAAGGCTCCTTTAAGGAAGGCAATGTACCAGCGTATAAAACGACATATTCCCAGTGATTAGGAATGAAAATGATTTCTGCAGCTTCTCACGAAAAACTGATTGCTTTTAAATATCATGTGTCCTTTACTGGGGCGACAATATATGTTGGTGGACCCTGCTGTGCCTGCATGATTATTTCCTCTCGCAAAGCTTCTGATTTGGATCATACATGTATGGTGGCCCTTCCTTGAGGGGACGGGCCAGTGGAGCGAAGCCTTCCTACCCAGCGTGGACCTTGGCTTTGCTTTGGTTGTGGTTGCCGTACTCTGGCGAGCCTCCTCCTTGCCGTTCTGGTTGTCATTTCATTCAGACCCCTTGGCTCTGACTTCTGCAGCTTGGTCTTCTCTTAGAATATTTTAAATGTAAATACCTTGTGATCTTAGGAAAAATAATAATAGAATTTTCTGCACATAAAAAGGCCTGTCAGACTCTGAATGCTTTTCTTGATGGGAAGCTCTGCAGGAAATGGCAAAGGTCTGAATCTCCTACTAATGCCAAAGTGACCCTAATGGTATCATCCACGGCATCTGGTCTCCTGTGTGAGTTTCTGATTTGTATTTTCAATCTAGCTGGGGAGGAGAGTTGTTACTAATGATCTCTCCTAAAACTCTAGCTTTTTACAATTCAGAGAGAACTTTAGTCAAATTTCCGTATAAAATTTGTCACTGAATCTCGGGCACATTCTTGACTCTAGTGCCCAATTGCTGGGAACACATCTGTCAGTTTGTATGTTGGTGACTCCGTTTCCTTCCCTGTCTCTTACAGGTCTCACTCTCCTGTGCCCCAGAGCTTCAGCTCCAGGTCTAAAGACCTCTGCTTTACGGAGAATACACCTTTGCTAAGGAATGCCTCACAGGAGAAAGGGTGAGTTTTTTTTCTTTCTTATGAAACTAAGAAATTTCCGAGCATGCTCTTTGGCACTTTACTGGGGAATTTCTTACTGAGATTATGAATTTTTGCCAGACATCTTCCAGATCCTTGACAATTCATTGCGGTAGGTGTTGACGATTCTAGTGGTTATATTCTGACTTACGAATTTCCAGATGGCCTTGAGCATAACCCTGTAGTGATCACACAGCACCTGGGCTCAGCCACGTGAACATGCAGCTCTGGCAAGCTGTCTCACCTGGCTGGGGTTTCTCAGCCAGGGTTGAGGCTGACACTGTCTGGAGACATTTTTGGTTGTCACGCTGGGTGGGGTCTGGGGCGCTACTGGCATCTAAGAGTAGAGGCCAGGGATGCTGCTAAACATGCTGCAATGCATGGGACAGCCCCCATGGCAAAGAATTATCCAGCCCAAATGTCAATAGCGATGAAGGTGAGAAACCCTGGGTGTATGATTCACAAGAAAACTCCATTTCCTGCAAGGTTGAAGGCCCTTTTTGGCACAAATCTGGGTGATTCTGGAATTGCCTGAGCAGAGGTGATCTGGAGGATAATTTATAGATGCTTCTGCCCAGGACGAAAGGCTGTGGCCCGGGCCTTCAGCCTCATCTCTTCTTCTGCAAACTTCCAGAAGCCAGATCCACCTGCTCAGTATCTCCTGGCTCCCCGAACATCACACATTGTTACCAAACCCAGAAGGGATCTGGCCTAGGTCCAGTTGCTCACCGCACAAAAAGCCAATTACTGAGACAACAATATTGCCAGGGAAGAAAGGGTTTTATTGCAAATTAATGTCAGCCGGGAGATGGGAGATAGTTCTCAAATCTGTCTCCCCAACCAAATAAGGCAAAGACTTTTATAGTGCGTTGTACAATGCAGGTTGGGTTGCGTGTGGCTTGAAGTCGTGGGGTCTGCAGGTAGTCTGATTCAAGAGTCAGCTTTCGTGATGGATGGTGAGCTGCCAGGAAGACCCATGGAGAAATTAAGCAAGAAGATTACGCTGCTTTTGTTAGGCTTTACTGGTCTGAATGTTTGAGGTATTGTGGAGAGAACAAAAAATAACTTAGGGAAGGGGCCATCTTACAAGGTCAATTACAACATGGGTACATTGTCACGGAGCCTCCCTTTCCTGGCCACTGACCCTGTGCACCCGCATTGACAGGTGACTGTTGTGTCTCCTTCACTTGCCTGCGAGCCTCTGAGTTGCCTGCCCTCTTCCCAGTGCTGTCTGCAGCCAGCACAAGGGGTGAGGCCTCGCACTGTAGGGGCGTTTGCATGCCAGGTGGGCTCCTGGCCTCACCCTCCAACACTCAGGTTCTCAGGATTTGAATGGGGTATGACAATCTGGATTTATCACCTCTCAGTGCAGGGACGATCTGCCTGGCTCCCTCCAGGAGATTCCTGATGGGAAGTTGTGTCCCCTTGTGAATGTTCCCACCAAGCTCTTTGACTAGAGAAACCTCCTTCCCTCTCCAGCTCTCCAGGGCACTCCAACGTCACTTCCTTTGAGAAGCCTTAGTACCTCTCCACCTCCCCCAAGAGTAAATGCTGCTTCTCCTTTGCTCTCAAACACCACATTCATGCCCTTCCTTCTGAACCTGCCCTTGTGTTATCCACGGTGATGTCTGCCAGCCTGTGCCTGCTCCATCCTATGTCCCTGTGCCCAGCAGGCCCCCTGGCCCCCGCACCTCAGAGACTGGATGGGCGAGGGGTGCAAGCTGAGGCATTTCCACTGACCCAGCTGCTTAAAGCTTCTCTAGTGGGGGATGACTTAATTCTCCTCCACATCTCCTAATCAATAACTGTGAAAACAAACACTTGGCACATCTACTTCCTTAATGCTTTCTCTTCAATTACTTGGTAAACTCTTAAGGCCTGAGACATTTTAGAGCTTGCAATTCATGGAAAACCAGTAATGTGTAAGCGTTTGTCCTGGGCACGTGGAGCACAGAGACGTGCCCTGGGAGGCCGAGCTGAGCCTCCTGTCACAAAACCACTTCACAGAAGCTTTGATTACAAAATGCTTTTTTTTTTTTTTTTTTTGCATGAAGCTAACTAAGGTATTGGTGGTAGGAGGGTCTTCCTGATGCTTAATTCTGTTGCAGTTTTAATTTGATCAAATGGCTTATTGGGAGAACATCCATTGCTTTACATAATTTCAGAAGAGAAAGTGCCCTTTTCAGGGCGTCGAGGGCAGGAATGTGTGGTACAGGGGTCAGAGCATGTCCTGCCTCTGCACTGACCAACTGGTAGCCATTCTTCACGTTATCCAAATTTAAATGAATGAAAATTAAAAATTCAGTGCTTCAGTTGCACTAGCCAGATTTCAAGTGGCCAGTAGCACACGAGGCTACCACGTTGGACAGGGGCAGAGGACATGTCCATCGCCACAGAAAGTTCTGTTGCACAGCACTGCTCCAGAAAGCACTGACATTAGCTTGCTTTCCTCTTTCTACTTATCAGAAAACAGTTTCCTTAGTTCCAATTTTGCTATGTTTGTGGGTTTTTCCAGCATTTAGGAGGAAGGTAATATTTGCATACCTGAGCATTTTCAGTGCCAAAATTGATAGAAAATATTGACTACTTTCAAAGTCATTTCATTACATATTGGTTTTACATAGCCTGTTCTGCATCTCTGGGCTTCTTGTAAGATTTTTTTCTTGTGAACCAGTTCTAAAGCAGTGATAAGTGTTCAGGAGAATCCCAATGCCCTGTTGAGCTAGCTGGGGTTTGAGTGGCATCATTTGTTTTTCTTTCTTCCCTTCCTTCTTCCTTCCCCTTTTTAGAGATGAGGTCTTGCTCTGTTTCCCAGGCTGGAGTACAATGGCCCAGTCATAGCTCACTGCAGACTCCAACTCCTGGGCTCAAGTGATCCTGCCACCTGAGCCTCCTGAGTCACTGGAATTACAGGTGCACACCACCATGCCCAGCTAATTTTTAAAAATTTTTTTGTAGAGACAGGGTCTAGCTATGTTGCCCAGGCTGGTCTCAAACACCCGGACTCAAGTGATCCTCCAACCTCAGCCTCCCAAAGTGCTGGGATTACAAGTGTGAGCTACTGTGCCCAGCTGACAACATTTGTTTCTAACAAGTAACAGATCACAGCTGTTGTTACTGTCAATTTGTGATCCCATGAGTATTCCATGTAATACATAAAAATTCTAGCTTTTGGTACAACCTTTCTAGAGTTAAGTGCATCTGTACTAAGGGAATTGCTCAGAAGCCCAATAATTCAACCAAAAATAAATGGAATACTTCACTTAGTAGAATGGATTCCAGCTCTATCCCAAGAATGGAAAAATAAGCACCACATGCACTCACCAGCAAATGGGTTTCACTGATCAACACCCAAGTGCACATATAGGAATAACATTTATCAGGTGTCGGGCAGATAGGAGGGGATGGGTATATACAAACATAATGAGTGTGATGTGCACTATCTGGGGGATGGAAACTCTTGAAGCTCTGACTGTGGGGGGCAAGGGCAATGTAACCTAAACATTTGTACCCCCATAAAATGCAGAAAGAAAAAAAAAGTAAATGGATATGTCTGCATGTAATTCTGATAAGTATTATTCCCCTTGATTCATCTTTCCAGATATAGGCCCATTCTTGGGCCTGTTTAAGTGAGCTACTGATGTTCCCTAGTCATCCCTACAGCCCTGTTACAGAAAGATATCTATACGGAGGAGGAAAAGCTTACTCTGCTTCAGGAAAAGTATAACAAATCTAGGCATTGACCACTCCAGCACACTCAAAGAGAAAGCAAATAGATCTCTGTCCTGAGTCCTGTAGGCATGGGAAGAGCTTCTAGGAACTCTGCTTGTCAAAGTCGGGTGCTGAGGGCCCCACACCCCGTGTGCCTGGCTATGCCCCTGCTGTCCCTGCTGTCTGCTGAGCCGGCTGCGTGGGAAGAGATGGAACCGCAGGTATGCAGGACCCTGGAGGAGCAAGATGCAGAGGCCTAGCACGGGAAGGCCGAGGATACGGCTCTGCCAGAACTGCAGGTGAACGATGTAAAAGAAAAACCTGAACAAATCAGAAGAGAGACTGATAAATTACCCACCAGTATCAAACCTCAACGATGACGAAGTGTGTTGTGTTACAGGGGAATTAGGAATCTGTCAAAAGTACTCAAAAATCATCAAACAAAACAGAAGAAAAAAGTGTTCATTTGTTCTTTATGGCTGCGGAGAAAAAACAATGAGTGTAGGCAGCCAAAAAACTCACAACCTGTGTGTGTCTGCCCGTGCGTGAGATTCACAAATCAGCATTACAAGCCAAGGACAGAAGACAGGTGGCAAAATGAAAATGAAAAACTTTGTGGATGTGGGGAAGAAAAGAAAGGCGAAGTCTTCTGCCTCAGGAAACTTGTGAGTGACAGAATACAGGAGGTGCTGTTTCGCCAGAGCTTAGGGAAGTCCCGTGGACAACCTCTTTTAAGACGTGTAAATGACAAAACTCAGACAACAGGAATTTTGGGTTGTACTTTCCAAGAACCATGTATTATTTTTAGCTTGTAGTCAAGCATGTATTTGGAAAGGTGTGAATAAGTTAACTATTTTGTTTGAAAAAAAGAGAGAAAGCAAATACTGAGACGAGTGGGAACCAGCCAGAAACAGCTTTATTGGAAAGTCCCAAACTCAGAAAGGACTGACGTTTCTTGAAGGCCCACAATTCATTTTGAAGACTTGAGTGACCCCAGATTTCCTTTGAGCCAAGTATTCTGTGATGTCACCAGTGTGAGAGCAAGACTACACTGTCATTCTTTTGAAGGCCAGGATTGATTCTATGACATTTCACTTGTTGTGAATGAGAGGAAATCTTGATTTGGAGATGCTACTATTTCAGGAAAGATAACCACAAATCTCTTGCTTTCCAGGTCACGGTGCATACCTGGTTACCACCCAGAGTTCATTGCTGCTGAAGAATCCTGGGAAACCAGCTCAGCTGAGTGGGAGCGGAGATACCTGTTGAGCAGAGAGGTGGCTGGTTCAGGGACATCGGCCTCCTCAGAGAAGGGGGAACTTGTGGACAGCACTCACGTCTGCTTGCATCTTCCGAAGCTGAGGTAGGTGGACTTGGAGGGCCTGCACCGGCCAGGGGCTGTGGCTTGACAGGCCCACTAGCTGACTCTCTGTGAATTCTTGAGTTGTCTCCTTTTATTGGCCTGGTCCAGGGAAGGGCTTTCAGGAGGTGTAGGATGTTACCAAATGATTAACATGTGTTCTCAAGGTTGTATGTGCATATCCAAGCTCCTTCTCTGAAAGCCCTACCTGGGGGTGGGGGAAGGGGTGAACAATAATGTAGATTTAAACTAATGACATAATAATAAGCCTTAGGTTACTCTAGATCACTTTCCAAATCCTATTATGCCCAGGCTGGGGAATTCCCAGATTGGTAAAGCGTTCCTTTCTTCCCCAGGTGTAGCAGTTGCTCGGGATAGGATTAAGGGTGGTGCAACACCAAGACGGAGTGCCTGCCCTTATCCTTCTTCCCAGGTGGGGCAACTGCTAGAGGCAGCACCAAGATCCTAGCTATGTACCTAACTAACACTTCAAGGTTTTCTATCTTTGCCCCAGGCCTAGGAAGACATTTAAGGTAGCCCTGCAAATCGGAAACCGATTACAAGCATAAATGGCTCACATCCTGTATTCCTCTCCTTCCTGCTTGTGTGGTTGGGGGGTCTTCATGGCCATTAGGTTTGCAAATAGAATCTACTGGATTCAGAGGATCCCTTTGATGCCATCTTTGTGATTATTGATGGATTGGGGCCAGTGCATTGCACAGCCAGGGGGAGGCAGTATTTTCCTGCTGTGGGAACCGGAAACCTGAGGCTACGCATGCGTGGGAGGGAGGGGGCGCTTTGCGGGAGCTCTGTGCTGGGCCGGGCAGCAGCACTGTCTTTTTACCAGATTTATTGGCTGGGCTTCTTTCCTTGCATGCATTAATTTGAAGGAAGGATTCTTTTGAGAGCAATGTGCTTGAAAGCAGCATCTTCAGGAACAGAACAAGGGCTGGAAGCCATGACCTGCCCTGAAGTAGCTGGGCGACCGTGGCGGTGGCAGAGCCTGGCGTGACGTGCAACCCTCTGTCGCCCGATGTTCTCTTGCTCCGTGGCCTCTCGTCAGTGTACACTGCACTGACGTGATACGTGCAGAAGCCGTAGATGTGTGAAAAAACGCTATGGAACTATCAAATATTGGTGTTATCATGTCACTACATTTAGGGACCATTCTTTTCTGAAATACTTGATGGGTTGATTGGAAACGTACCCATCTGCATGCCGCAGTTGTACCTACCTATCCCCATAGAGGCCCACCTTCAAAGCCCTGCTGTGTGCTGGGACCATTGCCCAGGCACCCTGTTGACCCTGCTAACAGTCCTGGGAGGTGGATGGAGAGTACCTCAAAGAGGGTAAGGGTTGTGCCCAGTGGCACAGATTGTGAGCCAAGGGTCAGGGATTTGACCCCAGATGCCCCCACTGTTGCTTGACGATGGGGCCATCTCCTCCCACTCTGACTCCCAACCCATCTGCAGCTTCTTTGCAATGACTGGTCTCAGCACCCTCGTAGGTGCAACAAATATTTGGCTGATGAATTTGCTATGAATTATGTGAATGGGGACCTGGTGCCATGGGTCATCAGGGTGGTAGACCTTGACACTGTTAACGCCTTTCTCCAGAAGCTGCTGTGTCCTCAACTGTCCCACAATATGGAAAAATAGAATCATGTACATTTGAGACTTTACATTCAGTGGTTTTATCTTCTATGATTCCTGGAATATTTGCCTTGAGCTTGCCACTGAACTAAAGGACTTTAGTGCCATTCCTTATAAAATGTCCGGAAAGTACCATGCATGATCAGGGAATAAACTCGTAAAAGAATCTTGTATTTTGGATTGTCAGCTCTGCCGCAGGTGCCAGTTATGTAGAAAGAAATTTGTATTTAGAATAGCTCAATTAATGACGCTTCATGCTTTAAAAAGAAATGTCATTTTGATTCCTATTTAAGAAGGAGCTGTTGAATCATAATTTGGAAGCATGAAATGATTATTTGTCAAACTCATTAAATATAAGAGATTGCAAAACAAGATTTTACCATTTTCAAAAGATCAGAAAGAAAGTTTTCAAAGATGGATGGAACTTTACTAAGTGAGGAGAGTATTAATTAGATGTCCCAACACAGTTTCTTGTATCATTCTACAAACATGCATCAAACACAAGCTAGGTACCAGCACCTTTCCATGTGTGAGGACAGAGCAAAAACACCCCAGTTCCTGCCCTCTCGGAGAAGGCAGGGGGAAGATCACACCCCAGGAGTGGCTGGTGACCATGTCATTTGGAGATGGGATCTGGCTTCTGAGTGAGCAGAGATGGGCATGATGGGGAGCACCCTGGTGGGGCAAAGGCCTGGTGGTCCACTCTGTAAGCGGCAAGGATGCTAGTGCCAACTGGAGTGGCTGTGGAGGGTGGGCCAGGCCCAGATTCAGATAGGGCCTGGGGGCCATGGTTAAGAAGTGGGCAATGGCAACTGGGCCAGAATGCCTTCAGAAATTCTCAGCGGGGGCCGAGTACATGGCGTGGTTGTCTATTATGTGATCTTATAAGGAATTCTTGAGAGACTCTCCTAGTACAACCAGTCAAGCAGCACTGCAATTTTCCTCTTAAATTATTTGTGTTTTTATATTTGATGATCAAATCTGTATTCCAACCTTCCAGAAAACTTAGGGGAAAATAACTGATAAATATAAATTGGAGAGCCAAGATAAGACATTGAATTCACCTTTTTCCCTAGGAAACTGGAGGTTTTAAAAGGCTAGGGAGTGCCCCAAATCTTGAACTCTACCTTCCTCAGCAAGAAGCCGTGTGCAAATGTTTGTGGTTAACTTTGTTCCTCTCTGGAACCTCCACCAAGCTCCTTTGGGTGGGGCAGTACGTTCACCGGTCAGCAGAGTCCTCTTTCATATCATGTTATGGAAAATTCAAAATGTGTGCTTTGAGATGGAATTTATACAAGGCTTCAGAGAGGTGTCTGAGGCTGGCAAGCCTGGACACATGTAAACATGACTGCTGGCCCTTGTGACTTAGGACTGACCTTTTCTTTTGCAGGCGCTGTGTGCGGTGGCTGAAAGTCACGGGCCTGTTTGTCTTTGTGGTGCTGTGCTCCGTGAGTACCGGGGCCACCTCTAGCAATGCTGTTGGGTCATTGTAAGCCCTGGGGGCCTTGGTGGGCAGGCACAGCCCCCAAGTGCCTTGGGCTGGATAGCAGGGTGACTGAGGTGTGGGGCCCACTGTTTGGCCCCCTTTGCCTCATTCTCTGACCTTTCTTTGAAGGAGATGCTGAAGTGCATGGGCTGGCGGGTTGAGGGGGGTCGAGGGAGGCCTGGCCTTAGTAGTGCTCCTCGGCTGTGCTCCCAGTCACGCAGTAGAAGCCTGGGCAACCTGGTGTTGCTCTGTGGAAGGCAGCTTAGCTTGCCCTGTGTCTCTCTTCCCCCCTCCAGTGGCTTGCCAAATTCCCTTTTCAACCACGAACAGTAATACTCTTCCCCGGTGTTGGGAATATCCAGCGATTATGGGTGGCCTCAGAACTATCTCAGTGCCCCTTTGAAATGGTGTCCTGGGCCTCCACCCCACTGGGCTACCCTGTGTGTGAGGGAGTGAAGCTCTGCAGTTTGCCCCACCATGGAGGTGCCTCTGATTTTATGTGCCCCTACATCCCTGTCCTTTCAAACACATTAACATTCACGACAAGACTCATCCCAGAGCCAAATCAATATCAGGTGCACTCGTGGGGAAGAGGGGCAGGTGGGGCCATCCTGGTGAATCCAGGTGGTGGAGGTGGTGTCTGTTCTTCACTGGGAGGACACTGGCAGGTGTGGGACAAATGGGACCTGGCCAGCCAAGGAAGAGCTATGGGGGGCTGGAAACTGGCAGAGGGGCTGGGCAGCCAGGGCTGTCACGGGACCTGAGTGTGCCCTCTAGGGTGACAGGTCACATGTCTTGCTGCCAGCGTTTGTGTGCTTTGTGGCTTCATGTAGCCCGAGCCAGAGTCACATGGCAGGCACCTAAAACACATTTATTTGCGCAGTAATTGGGTGTGTGGTCCCTGTGCCTGGCTGGTGTCCGTGTGTGAGACCTGTGGGTCATTTGTGGTCTGTGGTGGTGGGAGTGGGTGCAGGGTGGCACAACACAATGGGGTCATGTCTGTGCTCGGGAGTTATTTTGGGTGAGTGCCACTTTTTAGCGTTGGCATAATATGGTGTGTTGTTGGGAGACCACAGTGGGTGGAGGGCGCTGCTGCCGTGGCAGGGTGTGGGATGTGAGCGAGGGGGGGTGAGAGCGATGTTCCTGGACGTGGCGGCTGGACACCATGTGCATGACCTTGGCTACCAATTCACCTGTCCACCTCCTACTCACGTGGCTGTGTGGTTCTGAGGCCCCACTGCTCAGCAGGGCCTGGTGGGTGCACTGGGACTTCGAAGGAGGGTGTCAGGGCGGGCCAGGTGTCCCCTGGTCCCCAAGAGCCGACTTGAGCTCTATGTCTAGTCTACAGCCTACTTTTGGGAAATGGAATTTCAGTGATTTGTGGATACATCCAAAATAGAGTTTGAGGAATTTGATGTGAATGTCTATAATCTGTCATTTTATCGTCACTTTAATTTACTTCTTGATGTGTATAAGGTACTTTTCAAATTCCATAAACACGTGCTATAACCATCAGGCGGTTGTATTCCTTTACTCTCTAATATGGGAAAACCACGTTTATCCACTTTCGACAATTTAATCCTTCAAATTGGCAGATATCAATAATCAAGGCCTATTGTAGCTGAACATAGTGTAATGAATGAGAATATTTTAATGTCCAAGAAAAAGCTGTTCAGAGTAAGCTGGCGAGTTTTGGATACATAAGCCAGCACCATATTATATCCCTATTTTCAACTGTTATCAAAATTATTTAAATCCTATTGCTTTCTTACCAAAAATCTATCATGAAATGCTTCTGGTTTTTACAGATTTTATTCAGCCTGTATCCAGATCAAGGAAAGTTCTGGCAGCTGTTGGCCGTGTCACCGCTGGAAAGATACTGTATCCAAAATATGCAGGAATGAGGTTCAGAAAGCAAAGGGGTACTCAGGAACTATTGCACTGTCGCCAAAGGTCTCAGCGTGGGCCCTCCCCATTCCTGACTGCTCCATTCTGTTTCTCCAGGACAGAGGGGACGGAGCTCCTGGCAGTCAGTGATGGGCGATTGTCAGCGAAGCCCCTGGGAGGGGTGACAGCAGTGGCAGGCTCCAGTTACCACCGTGGCTCT